GGGTATTCTGCTGTTTCTAAAAATATTTTAAGGTTTTGATAATGTTCTGATTCTATTTTGAATAATTTATGCTAGGATACTAACTATCTAAACTGGATTGCTTTTAATATCGAGTTTAAATATTCAAATATAATAGTCTAGTAAAGGGTAAAGTCTGGTGTTGTCTACTAAACAGAATTGCAGAGATGTATAGGTAAAAGGTTGTTATATTCATCTAAAAGATGTTGAGAAGGTGTTTCTAAGTGAGGTAACTACTAAGGTATATTTGTTAAGGAGTAATCAGTTTGGATAGTATAGTAGTTAATTTGGATATTTGTAACAGGTTGTTGTATATAAGTTTTCAAGTTGTTGTTCAAATAGAGGTTCAAGAAGGGGAGATTCATAGAAACAAGGTGAAGTTTCATCAATTTTATCCTATTGTTTATTATTAGGTATGCTCCAATAGCTTTGTCCAACAATTTTACTAGAATATTGTTTAATACTTTTCTATAACCGAAGTTGAATATAGCAGAAAGAGTATTCATTACAGTGACTATATATTTTAGTTTCATACCAACATTCAGCACAAGGACCTTTCTAATCTCTGACAAGTCCTTTGCCTTTGATATTGTTATTAATAAATCTATTAATAATATATTCAAGATAATACCCATAAAACAAGGCTAGATGGCAACGGTAAACCAACATCGCGCATAAACAACATGGTACCAACAGCCAATCCACCACCAGAACTAGTACCGGCAAATACGATTTGTTTAGGATCAAACGGTTTGAATCCAGCTTCCGGACCAGGATTGATAAGATAAAAATACGCTGCTAAAGCATCACAAAGTGGTGCAGGAAATTGATGTTGTGGAGCAAGACGATAGTCTAAAGCTAACGGTAATTATTAATTAAATGAAAATAAAAAGGTTAAATATATATGATAATCAAAATTTAATAAATTTTATTAGAATTTAAGATAGTTACCGAAAACCGAACATTCTGCAATTTCAGAGAGCTTACAAGTAATATATCTGGAATCCTTACAAGATCTCATATAGTATCCTCCTCCAAACATGTAAAGAATTACCCTTCCTGTATCCTTCTGATCATTAATTTTAATCCATTCTCCACATAATTCATTATCAAAATATTTCCATTTTTCATCTATAACATCCTCATATTTTTTCAATCCATCCTCCAAATATTCTTTACTTTTAATCCTATACTTTTCATCTACTTTAACTTCGTTCACGGTTATATTATCTGGAATTGATATGTCGATAGGTTTCGGCTTCTTTACTTCTTCAATAGTTTTATCATAATTGTCTTCAAATTCTTTACGAATTAATTCTAAAATCTCATAATATTTCGGTGAAAATGAGAATTGAGACATTTTGGAATATTTGCTGAGCAATTAAACAATTAATCCTTTTTTATTTACGAAAATTATTGAATCCGGATTTAAAAATCCCGTTTTATATGCTAATACGGGAATATTGTGTATCAAATTTGGAGTCAAAATGATTGGTCGGTCATTAAACTCCCCAAATTTGGAAATCGGGTTCCACTTCTTTTTTATGTGCCAGGGTTTTACAATACAGTCAGATCTCTCTAAACGCAACCCCCTCTAAATGCACATCTATGAAAAACCTCTCTAAATGCATGTCTTCTCTTGGGCCCAACTAATATAATACTTATAGATTTTTACCTCCCTAAATGCATGTTTCACTCATTTTTCATATATGGTCCCGTCACATTGCATTTAGAGAGGTCTGACTGTATTTTTGCTAGTATACTAACACAATGAGTTGACTGAACATAGAACGATAGTAAGAAAAAAATATAGCATAACAGTCAGAACGAACGTAGTAAGAAAGTAAGAACGAACATTGTATTTTGTAAGAGTGAATGTAATGTGATAGTAAGAACAAACATAGCACAATAGTTGGAACGAATGTATCACGATAGTAAGAATGAACATAGCACAATAGTTAAGACGAACATAGCACAATAGATAGATTAGGGACAAACGCAACATAGGTAGAACAAACGTACATGATAGTTGGGACGAGCATAGCTTGGTAATTTGGACGTACATAGTACAATAGTTGACGAACATAACACATTGGTTGAAGTGTCAAACATAGTACGATAGTTGGAATGAACATACATAATAGTTAAATAGATTCGGGATGAACAGAGCACAATAATTGGGACGAACGTTGCATGATAATTTAGACGAATATAGCATGATAATTGAAGACAAAAGTAGCATGATAGTTGATGCAAGAGTAGCACGATAGTTGGAATGAACATAGCATGATAGTTGGGATGAAAGTAGCATAATAATTGGGATGAGCATAACACAATAGTTAGGTAAATTCAGAACGAATGTAGAATGATAGGGCGAACATAGGAAGAATTAGTAAGTTTGGGATGAACATAGCATATGAGTTAGGTAGATTAAGAACATGGTATAAGAGTTTGGTAGATTAGTAATGTAGCATAAGAGTTTGTAGATTTACAAAGCTTGTTACTAGTAGTTTTATAGTAGTTAGCGTTAGTTTCTTAATATACAGTAGTTAACAAATAGTCTAAGTAACGTACAAGCAAGAACTAATATAGCATCTCATTAATATATTGTGATACATTTGATATACATTATTGGCA